AGCCGCCATTGCCGCTCCACTGGTGCCGTATGCACCTTCCATCGCACCTTCCGCGGCAGTTGCACCTGTTTTGCCCGCAGCACCTGCACCAGCGCCAGCGATTCCATCCAGCGGTCCGGATTCCGATGTCGAGGTCGTCGAGGCTAGGTCCGGTCCCTTAGTCACAGCCGGTGCAACCTCTCGCGATGAACAACTTCGACAACAACAGGAACAGCAGCTGCAACAGCTGAAAGAACTCGAAAGACAGCAACAGCAACAGCAACAGCAACAGTTGCAACAGTTGCAACAGCTTCAACAGCAATCCAGACTGCAACTGCAACAGCAGATCCAACAACGCCAACAGCAAAGGATACAGAAGGAACAGGGAAGCGAGCAAGAACAGGAACAGCAACAGCAACATCCACAGCAAAGACAACAACCCCAACAACAACAACAATCACAAGGAGCACCCGTGAAAGCTCTCGCTACACCAGTACAGTTGGCAGCACAAGCTCCTCAACCTGGTAGATTGGTCAGCCTGCCTGCGTCCAGAACTGTTACCAGCTACGCGACTTATCCTAATGCTTACGCATATACAGCCGCCTACTCGTCGCCATTAGCTTACGCCGCTCCTATCGGTGGTCTCACCTATGCTCCCGCCACTGCGCTCCTGTAAAGATTTTTCTTTTTTAATATTGTTTTGTTATTAAATCCCGCCTAATTGAACAAATCAACGAGTTAAAATAAATGCGTGTTTACAACGAATTAGACGAAATTGTCTGATTTGTGAGTTATTTAGATTCCTGAAGTCCTTGCGTTTGTACGTGATACACAAACACATATTACATTTGACATGGTTTCACGTATGTGACTTTACCGACATGTAAATTATACTATAAAAGTTGCTAGGTAAAATACCATATCACTATATCGAGTATACGAAGAATACAATTTTAGAAAAATTAGAAACTAAAATAGCTGAGAATGGAATACTTTGGAGAAAATTTGTTGGAAATTAATATAGTATTTTTGGTTGTAACGAGCGCACCTCGGATCTATAGCATTCCATCAAGAAGCTACTAAGGAACAAGTTCCTCGTTTGCACGCTTCGCGAATCAGCAATTCCGAGGGAGCACAAATTTACGATCTGTCGTAAGAAGTAAGTCTCTGCTATTGAGTCATTTGCAATTTCTCTCGTTAACAAGGCGCCAGAAATCAAAAACATCGTGAGTATTCGTTCGATCGAACCTGCAAACCATTCATCCACAATAGGATCATACGTCTTCTTCGATAGCTCCACGGAATATTAACATCGTGGCTATTTTATGTAAAATGATAACGTTGTCCAGTACACGTGGAAATATTTTTATTCCGTGCAGCGTGGCGTCTCGTGGCGCGATCGTTGCACCGTGAGCAAAACGGGAAGATTTATTATTCAACAGGGTCTGGTTTTCTTTGTGGATTGCGTGGAGAAGCTCGTGACGGGGCCAGTGTCCTCGTAATCTCCGTAGCCCTGGTCACAGTCGATTACGTCGCCACGACCTACGTGACCGTGCGCGGGCGTAATAAGTAAAAGCGTCGCGAATAACGTCGATCAATGTCACAGGCGTACTTGCGCGAATCGATCACTCGTCACGTTCATCCGCGCGAACTTCGATTCATCGGGCTCGTTCACCGTTACGCAAGTTTCGGCGTTGCGACGCATCGTGTATTGTGTCTTTTACGCAAGAAAACCTCTACATTTGTATATAGGGTGGCCCACACTTTTCTTTTCCGAAGTTCAAACTTCGCCAGTATGCTTTAGAAAAATATAGAAGATGTCCAAAGTATAGCAATGATCGTAATATCTACTAGGTGGGCCAAATTTCTATTTGGTTGTACTAGTAAAAGATATAAACATGTATAAACATTCACAGCTCGTCTAGAATATAAAAGTACACTGTTGCGTATATACGAAATTTCATGAAATATTCTGAATAAGCGTGAAAGCGTAAAGACGGTACTTCCTGCTCGAAAAAATCCTATGGTCAGTCAGTCGAGCACAGATTTGTGACGCTTCTTGAAGCAGTTAAGATATGGGCAAATGACAATCTCGCTAGGAAATTTAAAAAGTTGCTGTCTTCATATTTAAATTCTTGGCGACATCGCCGCTATAGCTGTTATTTATCAAGAGATTGTTTTTTACCGTTGCAAATACGATCGTTCGTATCGATCTAATATATCGATAGATATGTTCCAAGTATCTTTAAATTTTCTGTCAAGTCGACGAAACAAACGTATGTACATAAAAAGCGAACAAGAGTTACGAAAAATAGGTTACCTGGAGAAAGGAAGTAGAGAGATCCAAAATGAGGGACACCCTGTATATGTTCACTTGTACGATGGTGTACGACCTTCAACTACGTGACACGTAACAGGCTAGACGAATTGTGTTATGTCTCGTTGCATTGCATTTTTATGGTATGTGATCTAGACGATTTATTTGCAGGCTTTACTTTTGAGGTTATTTCAACATGGATAAATGATATTTTGTAGCTTGTCAACTGATTTATGAATGGTTGAGAATGCTGAGAAGATTTGTGTCAGATGTAATATGATAATGCTAATATAATGATAATGCCGAGTTTAAAGTAGTAACGAGACTTTGATGGAAAGAAAATTGGAGGTTATGTAACGTGTAATTAAGTATGCTTGTCAGATATAGCTATATATATTTCTTGCTTGTTTCAAATTCGCAAGATTATTTCCTCTATATATATGTGTTAAGATATTAGTTTGACTAGCTATTTCAATGATACATAAACATTAATGTATCTAAATTAACAATTATATCGTTGATCTATATGGATATATTATAGATTCTGCTAATTTAATATGTATAGAGAATATGAATAAGTAAGTGGAATGCATGTAGAGTAACGCAGCATCTCTGCAAGTAGTATCGTCGTGTATATGTCAGACGCGTGCGTCATACGATATGTTTGAATCGATGTATCATACATATATGTATTTATTACCAAATTCGTGTATTAGAAACTCTGTATCTGTGAAATATGATGAAAATAATAGTAAAAAACTGCAATTGTATTAAACGCACGATAGTCTGACAAAATAATGACTAATACTACTGCAGCTACGTCTAGTTATACGTATTGAATTATTCGTATTAATACTTGTAGGAAAAAGGAAATTTTATTTCTGCTTGTAACAATATATCATTAAATTTGACGTATGATCTCTCCCGTGAAAATACGATTATTATATGAATAGATACAATTATTAAAAAGAGATTATCGTATAAGTTCCAATTACATATTTGCAGAAAAAAGAAATAATAAAAACGACGAAGACAATTGGAAAATTCATAAAAATAACAGATACATGGCTTTCGTATACGAACGATAAAACTTTACAATTTCAACATCCAACTGTTAGTGACAATTTTAATTATCTGTAAAAAGCGATGGTTACTGGATATTTACACCCAATTAACGTGTACGCACGAACGTTTCAGATCTCATTAAAATTCTTATGTAATATTACGCAATATCCATATTATGCGTTTTCACTTTAAAATTGTATCACTTTCCTGAAATAACGAGTCTCGATTGTGTTCTCGTACAAGGCAACGATCATTTTGACTGACTTGGTCTTAATGATAACGTAACAGGTTAAGAACGCATGAAATGAAAGGTAAATAAGGAGGCTCTAGATTCGAGAAAGAAAGAAAGTGTTTTTTATACGCAGCTGCGTAATATCTATAGCAGACACCTGTATCTTAAAATGAGCTAATTACCGAATGGAGATATATGTTTCGAATGATTTATTTCCTATTATTGTTGTTTTTGGAAAAATTTAATTTTCCTTCTGTTTTAGTACAATTTAAGGCAATATAAATCACGTAAAATGTATATAATTTATACATTAATATTATATTTTTGATCTTTCGATCTACTTAATCATTTTTAATCTAAATCAATCAATAAGTATTGAAAGCCTCGAGTTGACTAAAATATTATTGACAATCATAATGAGTGATCGTAATTAAATAAATTTACGAGCTTTGAAACTACAGTAATTTATTGCGTAGCATAATATGTAAGAGAAAACACGCACCTGTTAAACTCTGCATTTATCATGTAAACAGTTAACTTACTATTCCTATGCTAAAACCATACATTTAACCAGTAATATCAAATGTTATTTATCACTAGGTATTGATCGTACTTAAAGAAATAAATTATTATTCCCGACGATATTATTGCAATGACGGTTGTCGAAAAATAAAATTACGAAGTACTGGCAAGAATCAAAATGATAAGACAACAAAGAATGAGATCGTAAAGTATCGTGGAAACAGGTATATAAAACGAGAACAGAGATGGAAGAATAAAAATCATAAAATACTGCCCAAGGATAAAATCATCGAATATTAATAAACAATAAATTTATAAAAATGAGCCGAGGATAAAATCGTTCGATGTTTACGAATAATAAAGTGAAATATAGGCGAAAGAAAAAGTGATTCGATATTGATGAATAAAATTGTGATACACGAACGAAGGATAAAACGATGAAAAGTTAATGGAAAAGAACAGTTTATGTAAAATATTACCAAAGAATGGAACGCGATAAAAATGAGAAAATCACGAGGATCAGGGATAATGAGAGCAGACAGCCCTTGGCCGAGTACAATAGGGCTCAGGCAGTCTCGATCGTGTCGAATCGGTTACATACCTGTTCGTACTGTCCAACTTTCACCGAATAAGCCAGGGCTGCAGCCGCGGCCGTCAAAGTACCGCGCCCAATGTCACGACGTGGTCCCTCGTAATCGCGCCCCGTATTACGTGTCTTGCTACACAAGAAACCGGTTCACTTTTGCCGGACCGGTTACTGAAGGAATTCGACCAAATGGACAATGGATGGCCCGCGGGCGAAACTCGAATCCGTATCCTTTTATCGATTTTTCAATTAAACCGTGAAATTACGTTATTAATATTTCTTACTTCATATTCATTCATAATATCGTATTTGAAGATTCCGCCTCGTAATATCCAGAGTGGTACGTGCGAGTATTTGCACATTTGTAGAAACTTTTCACGAATGTAATATTGTACGAAACATATTGTAACATTTTGAAGTTTCACCAATACTAGGAATTAGATTATCATGATGACGTATTGATATTGTTTCGAGCAAATCGACCGAAGAGAACTTCTCACTGCAACTGGGAATCCTCGATGACTGAACGAACGCGTAATTTCGTTTGTGAGAATCGTTTGATGTTGCTGGCAGTTTCGCAATGAGAGATGTGGCCTGTCGTTTGAGCGAAATTTAAACGCTTAATTTCCGAAAGTTCAAGGATAACATTAAGGTTCCGCGAGAGCGATATATAATAAGATCACCGGTTCCTCGGTGGTTTTTATTCCCGTGAACGTTTGACGATCAAGGTTCGGTAATGAATAATGGAAGACTAAAGAGGCTGACAGTTACGTTATAATCGTTTGAACGGAGAAGGATATTATGGACTTTAAACCGAGTTTTATTAATTATCGCTCCTTAACACTCCGATCTATTCTGAATATTAATTTGCTATTTCTAAAACAGAAGCTAAAAAATGCAACATGTTGACAATTTTTCTGAGAATGTTTTTAAATAATCGTAAATTACCATTACGATCAAATCAACATCGCAATTAAGATCGAAATTCCCAACGAATTTTCGCAATAAATAACAAATCTCTACAAATAATTCTATGTATATTTATGCTTTCCTGGAATCCGAATTCTACCGAATTCAGCGATTGTTTCAGCGCAATTCTTTCGATAGATTTATTCGTAGATAGATTTGTTTTGTAAAACGAATGTGAAAGCACGCGGTCCCGATACCTCATTGCGAGCAATCAATCGCCGATTGATAATCGAGTCACGTAAACGGTAGAAGCAACTGCAGGTGCTATCGTGACTGGGATATGCCTTTCTTCTATGGATTAAAAGGTTACAAGGCGTTTCTGCGGGCACGACAATGAAAAATAGATGCGACTATTACAAAAACCTGTGTCTCGTCGTTCTAATGTATTTTTCATTATTACGCAATAATTTAACCATTAGAAGCAATTAAACTACGTAATCGGTATCTCATTTAGTCAGCCGTACGCATAAATCGTCATATAGAACTATAATCACGTAACGCATTCAATTGCGAAACGATTTGTTACAGTCCATACTAACAAGCATATTAAACATTTGCTTTATGAGTTACCGCTAGCGTGACAATATTATTTTTTCGTAGAACTCGTAGGGTTATAACGAAGCAAATTAATGAAAAACATTTTATTAATTATCTCTTAAATTACTTCTCAAGTATATATATATATATATATTGATATATTGATATTCAGAAAAATTTTGTTAATTTTAAATCTCTATAAAACAGTCGCGGTTTTCTCTTTCTCCATTCTCAAATAATTTTTCCCTTTACATTGTATACCTATAATACCAGCGTAGAATGTTTTCGAAAGGTTCGAGAACTCATTCGTCGCGCGTTCATCGCCGAAAAACTTTATCATTCTGGTTCACTTTTTATTACGCAATCATTTAAATCGAGGCCGGGAATTCAGACGCCTTTCTCCCTGGTAATGGATTCGCTTCGTGTGATCCAGATGAATTTCGTATACGTACACGAACTATCGGTTTTTCGTTATCGCGTAATTCTTCCCAGAAATAATTCAAAATTTACTTCTTCTTCCGAATTTAGCAATTTCGCGTTAATATTTCACGCTGTTCCCAAAAAATTAATGCAGCAGACTTTTACATCGCTTGAAAGATTAAGAGATCAACGCTCTGCTCTGCTGCGGTGAAAGATGAAGAAGGAGGTAGTATGAAAGCAATTGTCAAAATAGAACACGTGTCGTGGCTCCAGCTAGTTTTCTCTGAACCAGTTTTCGCCACACCAGGATGGGCGTGGATCCTTCGCGAACGAGATCTGCAGAACAAAAGTAGACAGTGCGTAGAAATTTGACGGTATTACGCGGTTTGTCTGACGTTCGCGAAACAGCACGAAAGTAGAGAAAGTGGGTCAGTCCTGGCGACCACCAGAAATAGCTCGATGATCGAGCAACGCGAAATTGAAACGCTACCCTGTACTCAAGGTTACGCGATCGCGTTACTCTTCATTCCATGGAGCACGCGTCTACTACTCTTCCATACAGAATAAACAGGATTCTACCGAAGGATACTAATCTAACTCTTTCTTGGTATCCTCGTCGTTGCGTTATTCCATGTCGATGATAAAATATATACGTATGGATATGCACACACATACGTAAAAACGTGTGTTAAATTATTAATTATCAAATTTCTAGTTGTTAAACGTCTAGTGACTCGGATTAGAGAAATCATAGATATCTTCAATTATACGAGTCCCTATTATTTGTCCTCCGACAGGTGGGAGTTCGAACAAACGGAATGCTACTGTAACGCGAAGTAAGTTGAGTAATAGGATATTCGACAAGACACAGCAGAGGACCGGATGAAAGAAGAAGATGAAAGAATTAGAAAGTTCTAAAATATAACGAATTACGCTACGATATTGTTTTACGTAACAATGAACAACGTTATAATACTACCGTATATTATACTATACTACACTAACCATATACTGTGATTTTGTCAGACTAAAGTATATCGAATAATACACATTAACCGAAATAGTAAAGTAATTAAGAAATAATATAGGAAGCAAGAAGAGAATGTAAGTCTAGATAAATATAGGAAAGAAGAGAGGGGCGAAAAGAGGAGGGTGAGACAGAAATGCAAAAGACCAGAATACACTTGTAACGAGTTTAATCGGTCACAAACAAATCTGCTAAAAAAATAAATAAAAAAGGTTCAGCCTGAGTCGACGAGTTATCGTGGGCAAGACGCGACATGACGCTTAGAGGTAGTGGGATGCGTAGGTGAGGGCGGGTGCGGCTGCGATCTTGGCGAAGGGTGCTGGGTGCGCGGCGTATGCAATGGGTGCTGGGTGCGCAGAGTACGCGATGTGTGCTGGTTGAGCGGAGTATGCGATGGGGGCGGCGTGTGCGACGGCGACTGGAGCGGCATGAGCAACGGCCACTGGAGCGGCGAC